GTTAAGGTAGATTATCATTTACAGTGTAATCAGTGAGGGGATTCTGCAGACTGTTGAGGGTTCAGCCTCCTGATGAGTCGGTGAAACTCTGACGAAACAGTTTGTCACAGCCCCTCGTTTGTTGTCCTCTTCTCTCTCTCTGCCAACGGTTTACCGGGCAGTTCTGTTTGTGATGATATATATATCTATTTGTGACGATATATATAAAATGGTAAGGAATTTCGATGTGACTCTGAGGCAAAAGTTGTTCAGTTTATTTTTCTGCATGACCTAATTTTTTAAACGTTTTTTGGAAATTTTTGCTCTGTTTTTAGTTTTGTTATTTTCACTGGGACCTTCCCTAGTCCTTGCACGGCCCGGCCGTCCGCAAAAACAAGGTGATCCGGCCTGCCTGGCTGGTAGCCTAGGTAAGAGTTTAAATGGTGGGTGACCTCTGCCACTGTACCCAGCTCATGTGCCTGAATAGCACACTCGTTTAACTGTGGATAAACAAACCTGAGCTCAACTCCTCGTCAAATCAGATCAATAAGTTGTTAAAATATCTCTGAATTAGCTGGGCCTGGTCAGTTCGTTGTTGATAACTTGACGCCATCACCCTTTCAGATTCATTGTTGACAACTCGACACCATCTTTTTCTTTTTTTTGTCTGAAAGGGTGATGGCGTCGAGTTATCAACAACGAGAAGAAGAAGAAGAACAACAACAACAACAACAACAACAACAACAAATGATAGGTGATGTGCTCGTCCATGCTTAGCATTACCCGCTCTGACTTAGACCAGCTGAGTTCGAATCCTGAGTTCGAATCAGAATCCTGAGTTGGAATCCCGAGTTCAAATCCTGAGTTCAAATCCTGAGTTCGAATCAGAATCCTGAGTTCGAATTCTGAGTTCGAATCAGAATCCTGAGCTCGAATCAGAATCCTGAGTTGGAATCCCGAGTTCAAATCCTGAGTTAACGAACTTGACAAATTCGTCTCTTCGACCCTCAACAAAGCCAAATTCGACACGGAAACTCCCTGTCGAAGACTCAGCGGCGAGGCGATCGTAAGAGCTTCCGCTCTTCAAACGACAAAAACCGGCAACCGGCGAACCCTATGGAAGACTTCATCAGATCCAGTGGATCCATCAGAATCCTGAGTTCGAATTCTGAGTTCGAATCAGAATCCTGAGTTCGAATCGTGAGTTCGAATCCGGAGTTTGAATCCGGAATTCGAATTCTGAGTTCAAATCCTGAGATCGAATCCTGAGTTCGAATCGTGAGTTCGAATCCGGAGTTCGAATTCTGAGTTTGAGTCCTGAGTTCGAATTCTGCGCGGTACACCCGTGAAAAAGTTGTGAAGGGGGTGAAAAAACAGAATTATTTGGCAACTTCACCTCAACGTGAGCAATGGATGTAGTTTCCAACTTCAAATCTTTTTGTATAATTTGGTCTGTTGAGTAACTTGAGTCCGACGTGTTGTGTTTTTTTTGTTAATCGAGCCTTTCCATTTTCCTGCATGTGGTGATCTGGTTTCATTTCGCGTTTCAGGTTGGTGTGGCGACAATCGTATTTGACGCTGCCATCATCAGCTATTATGTGAACTATGCTGAGGATCCAAATGTGCTTGCGAGAAGCCAGCCTGCTCTGTTTTCAATTATCCGAGATCGGCACCAGCAATACACTCATCCAGGTCTAGCATCTCAAGCGTCGTCTGCGTGAGTGAGTGCCAAGTAGTCGCTGTCCGGTTTTCGGTTCATACGTGCATGGGTGTGAAGTTGTCGGTGACATGGCTGTGGGGCTACAGTTGGGTCTCTCATGTATATGAGTGGGCGTCTGGAGAGTGATCCATGGCAGCAAGATTTGTCCATACATGCAGGCATCCACACTGTGCCAACGCCGATAGGGGCGGTGAGGGGAAGGGG